CATGTACTGAGCCCTGGTGTACTTTGTCCAGATCCGCTCTGATGAGGACAAATCCAGGAAAATCTACTACAGCATCACCGGTCCAGGAGCTGATGAGCCCCCTGTGAACCTCTTCACCATGGACAAATTTAATGGTGTTCTGTATGTCACGGAGCCACTTGACAGAGAGAAGCAGGACAAGTACATGGTAAGCATCCTCTGTGGTAGATCTGTCTCTGATCGAATCCTGCTGGGTAACAGCATGCATAGCTCAAACACAGAAATCCAATGAAACGCGCCTTTTATCTCATAATCTTCAGGGTTTTTTTTTTCACTTTTGAGCTACTAATGTGTTATGTTGGATGTTTTTATTTATTTTATATTTCTGTTTTATCCAGATTGTTATATCTGGGCTATACTATGCAAAATCATTTTTTTGCTTTCATTGAAATCAAAAGATTCCTTTGAAATCCTTCAAGTTTGACCTCTTTCAGTTCAAACTACCTCAGTTTACCTTCAGCTAGAAGCATCAATTAACATTTAAACCAAAAGACATCCAGCTATCACCAAATGACCTTTCTCTTGAAAATATTTAGTGTTTTTTTAAATATCAAAATTACGAAAATATCTCCTCCTTCCAGATTTTCTATTGCATTTGTTCTTGCCCTCTTTGGGGTAGAGAAATCCGTCATAATAATCATGATAATAATGCAGCAGCTCTTTCTAGTTTAATACGTTTTCCTCTCACAACCCTTTTGTGTGCACATAAATTCCACCATACCTGATACATGTTTTAGAGGACGATATTTTCTAGGTTTCACAGCCCTGCCTCGTTAGAATCGACGTCAGGTTTGTTTCCATGTTGGGAAACAAAGCCGGTGCTGTGCATCATGTGAGCCCTGTATGTTTTGTGTACACGTTTGTGTTTCTGCCTGCAGTTCAAGGCACACGCTGTGGCAGAAGGTTCAGGATCGATTGAAGAGCCCATGGATGTGATCGTCAAAGTCATTGACCAAAATGACAACTCGCCCATTTTTGAAGAATCCTCCTACCGTGGACAACTGACTGAGTCCTCGCCATTAGGTACGAAAGGGGGGTGTATTTTATCTTAAGAAACCACGTTTGGCCCTTTTTAACTGAGTGGACTCTGATGGAAAGGGGCCTTCCGTTGTGGGGATTAGAATTGAATTGATGAATCGTCCCTTTATTGATTTGTATGTGTATATTTCCACTTTTCAGGTCATGAGGTGATTCGGGTCGTGGCCACCGATCTAGATGAGCCGGGCAACTACAACTCTTTGATCCGCTACAGTATTTTGAGCCAAGAGCCAAAGGAACCTAACCAACATATGTTTGTCATTAATGCGGTCACTGGAATGATCAGACTCAGCGCTCAGGGACTGGATAGAGAGGTGATTCTGAGAATCTATATTCATTATTGCAAAAAGAGCTACTCTCTTTTCCGCTGTGCGTTACACTAGATCTTCTATCCAACAGAAAATCTCTCAGTACACACTGGAGGTACAAGCAGCTGACTCTGAAGGAAAAGGGCTGAGTGGAAAAGCAAAAGTAATCATCGAGGTGACAGACAGCAATGACAACGCTCCAGCCTTTTCTCAGCCCTCTGTAAGTAAAAGACTCCTGAAAGTGTAACCCTGCTTGGAGGGAATAACCACTCTGTCCAGCAGATGTGCTTTGTGAACACAGTCGGACCCTGAAAGAGCAAACAACCACCTCTTTACCTGCAATCTTTCATTTGTCGTCTTCTGTTTTTGTGGCGGTGTTGTTGTTTTTTTGCAGTACACCGGCACTGTTGAGGAAAACAAAGCAGATGCTGTAGCAGCAAGATTGCTGGTGACAGATAAAGATGACGCACACACTCCTGCCTGGAACGCAAAGTTCAAAATTGTTGGTGGAGATCCAAAAAACCTGTTTACAGTAGAAACAGGAACTAACAAACAAGAAGGAATCTTAAAGACTGCTCAGGTAAACTACAATGTTGTGTTAAATTACTTTATGAACGCATGCATTTAACGTCTATTAGTCATCTGTTTATGTTAATGAGTGATGTGGATAAATCATTTAACATACTTTTATTAATTGATTTTTTTTTTTTTTCCCATTAAACCAGGGTCTTGATTTTGAGACGAGCAGCATACACATCCTACTGGTTGCAGTGGAAAATGACGTCCCTTTTGCTATTCCACTGCCCACGGCCACGGCCACAGTTACAGTGACTGTGAAGGACGTCAACGAACCTCCAGTCTTTGATCCACCGACAAAGAATTTGGCAAAAAAGGAGGACTACAAGGGCCCTGATCTGGTGGTCTACACAGCTTCTGACCCAGACACTGCTCGCAAACAGAAAGTCATGTAAGCCCAAGGGTTGAAACTTGCGTTTTAACATAACTCTGAAGAGTAAAAATATACATTTCTCAAGTCTTAGAGAGTCAAGGAAAGGTTTGCACATCATTTGAGAGAGGTTAATGGAAGTGTTGTATCTCAGTTTAGCATGAGGTTTTGTCAGGATTCAAATTTTTCTGCAAGTATTTCCAAATTTGGTTAGTTGAACAAGGGAGTGCAAATGGTTGGTGTTATCATCCAGGTCATTTTGGGATCCTGTAATTATGCAATTATGTGAAACTATAAGCCTCTATTAACATCACTGACTGCGTTATGTTGTTGGAGGGCATTCGTCTACAGACCATGCTTGTGTTCATATTCTGTAAACGTTGATCACTGATGTGTGGGATCACATTTGGCAGAAATGTCCAAACCTGCGTCCCAGCAGGCTTCATGATTCGGCATGGATCCATGTTGAACCAGCGTGCCTGCTTAGCTTGTCCTGATCTGTTTCGTCCATCGCCAGGTATAAAATCATAAGAGACCCTGCAGGATGGCTGAATGTGGATGAAACCAACGGCAAGATTACACTGAAATCCCAAATGGACAGAGAGTCTTCTTTTGTAAAGGACGACAACTACATGGCACTCATTGGAGCGTACGATGACGGTAGGAAGCTATTGGTGAATTATCCACCCAGTCGTATCACTTTGAAGCATTTAGAAGAGTGTGTGACTTCATTCTGAAGTTGGTGCTGACTTCACATAATCCCGAAAGTCCAGAGATGGTTATGTTGAGCTAAAGGGGAGCTTTGTTCTTTAGTCTGGTTGGAAACGTTTTCTGTAAAGTTTCTGTGAAGAGCTGAAGTAAAGTTGCCCTCCCTGAACCTGGTGGATTACTGTGTGGGATTCAACTTTTTGCAAACAGTGAGCCAAAAGCGTGCTCAGATTTGCATGCGTGCTGCTCTGATGCCTGTCTGTGTTGTCAACAGATGAGATCCCCGCCACTGGAACTGGTACTCTCATCATTAAGCTGGAGGACGTCAACGACAATGGACCCACCATTGACGAACGGGAAGTCACGGTATGCCTTTTTCCTTTTTTTTTTGGGCTTCACAAACAGCTCCTCAGTTAAAATGAACGGTAACTTTCTGTCCTCAGATGTGCAGGAAGAATCCAGTCCCTCAGCTTCTGAGTGTGTCGGACAAAGATGGACCGGGCAATGCGGCTCCCTACAGTGTGGTCTTACACCCCCAGTCAGCCACCAACTGGACTGCTCGGATGAATGACAACAGTATGTGCACTAATGATGTTGAAGCGGGGTTCCATATGTTGCCATTTAGAGATGTGTTGGTCAACTCGAAAGGTGTTGAAAATGTCAACAAAAGATCCTTAAAAAAATATTTCCTCTTTCTGAACTTGTTACAGGTGGTGTCAGCAAGTTTGATTTATGAGTAAATTGCAACAACTCTTATCAAACAGTTCATTTTCAGTCCTTTTGAAATCCCTCCAAAAAACCTCCTTCAAATTAATAAAACTGCTTTAAAAAAGGAGTGTCTTCTAGCTTTACCATAGGGCTAATTTTGGTTCTGCAGCACCCAGAATAGGTAAACAATGACTGGTACTGAGTTACAGTTGTATGTTTGGTTGGGGAGGGGGGGTTGTGTCTGGATTCACTTAGAAAATTAGCTTGATAATTGAGATTATTTGAAACATTAGATGTTTTTGTTCCCTGGACAGTGCACAGCATCAGTTTCTCTTTCTTTTTTCTGATATAGGCCCCTTACATATGTCTAAATCAGACGTATAGCATGTCATGCAACTAGTCCCGAGTTCTGAACTACCTGTCCTTTTGTCTGTTTCAGAAACGGCCGTCATCCTGGCTTTGGCCAACGATCTGGAAAGCGGAGTGTACAACGTGGTCCTGAAGGTTCTGGACAACGGGGGCAATCCTCAGGACAGCACCGTCAAAGCTACGGTGTGCGAGTGCTCGGGAGCAGACGTCAGCTGCAACGACCTGCGCGGCGCGGCGGTTTCTAACCTGCCGGCGATTCTCGGCGTGCTCGGGGGCGTCCTGCTGCTTCTCAGTAAGCTTCACATCTGGGTTTTCTTTCACAATTGAAAATGCTCTCCCTTTTAGTGGAAGGAAAATGGACATACTTTCTCTTCGTGGCTCTAGATGGGCTGTTTGGAAGTGAATGCAGGCTCTATTTTAACCCTGTTTATTGAACCCTGAGGCCCAGAGGGACACAATGCTCTATGTTCTGCCCTGATGCGGACAATATATTAGGAATCGCAAACATTTAGTGTAGCTCAGTCCTTTTTGAGGTCCTAAAGCTTCATGCTCTCTGCCTAGTGCTGCTGCTGCTGCTGCTGCTGTTTGTGAGGAACAGAAGAGGAGAGAAGCAGGAGCCGCTACTGCCAGAGGAGGACATCAGAGACAACATCTACTACTATGATGAGGAGGGAGGGGGAGAGGATGACCAGGTAACCACTGGCTGGGCGGATTCTGTGTTTAATGATGGGGAGCAGAGATGTTCCACTGGGGGAAAGTTGGCTCCAGAGTTGTAGTATTTAAAAGTCTGGCTGCGTTGGATCTAAAACTGGTTTATGAGAATACAAAGAGGAATAATAATGGTCATTTTTCTGTTGGCTTCTGCGTTTTCATTATTTGACAAAGAGCTAATAAATGTCCGGATGATGGGCTCAGTCTCTCACATGGCCCTCTGTTTTTTAAAGTTGAGATTTGGAAACGATTATTTCTGGATATGCATCGATGAAAAATAGCTTTTCCTCTGAGTTCCTGTGGAAGCAGGGTGGAGAAGCAAAGGCCAGCTCTTTTCCATCTAACTGCAGTGCGCATGTGGCTGATTTTGTCAGTAACCACCATGACCCCCCCCCCCCCCCCCCCCCCCCCCCCCCCCCCTCCTTTAGGACTTTGATCTGGGCGTCCTCCACCGGGGTCTTGACAACCGCCCTGAGGTATTCAGGAATGATGTGGTGCCTAATTTCATGCCGGCTCCCCAGTACCGGCCCCGGCCCGCCAACCCGGACGACATCGGCAAATTCATCGAGGACGTGAGTAGACTTCTGAGGTGTCCGGAAGATGTGCGGCGAGAAAGAATGTGTGCTCACGTCTGTGTGTGTGCTCTCCTCAGAATCTGAACGCGGCCGACAGCGACCCCACGGCGCCCCCCTACGACTCCCTGCTGGTGTTCGACTACGAGGGGGGGGGCTCCGACGCGGGGAGCCTCTCCTCTCTGAACTCCTCCAGCAGCGGAGACCAGAACTACGACTGCCTGCAGGAGTGGGGCCCCCGCTTCAAGAAGCTGGCCGACATGTACGGCGGCGGAGAAGACGACGACATGCTGTAGCGTCCTGGTGAGCGAGCTGCAGAGGCTAGAGATGAGCTGGGTCTTAGGGGCCCCCAGGTGTTTAATGCTGTCCGCTTTCTACTTATTCCAAGAGCTGAAGTGCACACTTGACAATGGCGTCCATGTTTTGGGGAAACCAGACGCACAGAGCTGCAGTTTCCCCAGTTAGGTTTTGGCTTCAGTTGGTAAAAGGATGGTACCTTTGTTGATGTTTGTTTTTTTTCGTTTTTCCTTGTTCTTTGTACAACCGTTTTATATTGGTGATTGTTTGAATGAAATCATGGCCGCCGATGCCCCCTGACCCTGAGATGGAGAGCACAATGAGTTATCAATAAACGCTGTTCAGATGTACATCTGTAGGTCTGCCTCCTCCATGGGGACTGTACTATGAATGCTTTGCCAGATTTACCTTTTTTACATAAAGTTCTTAATACAATGATCTGTGACCTGTCTTTTGTTTAATCTACAAACTGGATTAAAGCCGCACTGTCAGGAAAAGCTTGTGATGTTCTAGCCTGGGAGAAGATCCTTGTATACAGAAGGCTGTGTACCCTGATGTAATTTGGACAGGATAACCCCGAATGCCAATACAAAATATCCAAATTCTGCCATATCCCAGGCAGGCAGCCGTGTTTTCCCAGAGATAGCTGATGGTTGAATCCTCACAGCCTGAAAAACACTGCACTGACTTGTCTCTTTGCTCCAGATTAAAGCTTTAAAGGTTTTCCCCCAGCAAGTCCCTATGAACCAACAGGTGACTTTAATGCCGCCACTCTGTGGAGAGAACCCCTCCCAGTAGGACAGACCGAACCCGGATCATCGGTGATCTGACGTGGATCAGGAAGCCTTCAGGGGGACCCTGAAAGGTACCGACAACAACCAGAAAGAAACCAATAGAATTCATATGTGTGACCCAATCATTTCTGCACATTTTTACTATTAAAATGTTTGTTGTTTTTTTAAATAGGAAAAACTATCCTAATCTGTGTTTTTCCAGTTGGGACAGACTGAAACAGAACCGGGCTGCAGGATTTGTCCCTTTTTATCTTAAAATGGCTTCACTTCATAGCACATCGTGTGGATATTGTGTGTGCTGTAGTGAAGCTGTTTCTTGTACTTTCAGAATCTTCTTTGACCTTTTAGTGCCGCTGAAGACTAGAGAATTGGCTTTTATTGAAATGAAATAAAGAAAAATGCTGCATTTGGACCAAAAGGACATAAAAAAACATTTCAGGGGGAAATGCAGCCATTAGGAACAACATGAGGGAAGACTAGAGACGAGGCTCAGTGCTCTGCTTTATTTTGGCAGGACTGGGACATTTGAACTTTAACCTTTAACCTTTGGCAGCTTGTGATAGTTTCCTGCTGGAACAGGTGAAGTTATACATTTTTATATCTGTTGCTAAAAGCCGGCTGTATAAAAGTAGGTTAAAACTAATAGAACTTATTGGTAACGTTGAAAAATAAATAACACAAAAATGCGAGAAAAAAAATGTTCTGTTCTTTTCAACCACATTTTCTTCCTCCCAGAAATGCGTTCCCAGCTTTGTTTCTGAATTGGCTTTGCATGGACTTAGTGGTCAGTATGTGAACACAAGTTCAACAAGCACAGGACAGCCTCGACGTGTACTTTATTGGACATGATTTTGTCTTTTTGGCTTCTTATAGGTGAAGAAATGCTGCATAATTAATGAGTTCTCCATATTTAATGATAATATTTCTATATTCTGACCAACTCGCCGTGTGAAGAGAGTTGACTGGTCAGCTGTCCTGTCTCTGAAATGCATGAATGTTGTTTCCCTGCATAAGTACAGGTTTGAAGGACTGAATCCTTTCGCACGAGTCAGTAGAAATAACGATCAGGTTGTTCCGGTTGTCCATTTCCGACCTGCTACACCTCCTTAACGAGCCTGCCTTTCCCTTTTTTGAAGCTCCAACATCCAAACGTCTGCACTCTCCCACAGGCCAGATGTTTCTCTGACCACACTCACTTCTTTGTTGCTTGGTGTGGTCTACCTGGACAACTGGATTTGAGAGCCAGTGAGCACAGCTTTACTGATTCCTATCACATTTGGTCTCTGCTGTCTTATTTTAGAAACGGCTGTAGAAAGTACAGGCGGGAACAGAGCGAAGTCGGTCGTGATCCCCAACAACGAGTGGATTCCCTTCTTCTGTTACCCCCGGAGCTCCTGCCTGAAGGCGGATGCAGGTCCATGCTGAGGTCTGGACCGAGCAGAGCAACTCCAGGTAGTGAAGAGGGACCTTAAACAGTCCAGAGACCGCCCCGGTGGGAAGATCCTACTGGTCCCAGTGGCACAGGGGCCCTCTAGTCCTGCCATACTGGCCCACACGGTCAAGATCAAGTCAGCTGTCCTGAAAGGGAACGAATAAAAAGAGACATCTTAGCAGTTTACACCGACCTTAAAGTACCCAGGGGACTGGTGTAGCTGTCCATCCACCCATGATGGTAACCTCTTATTCCCTAATGGGGCTGGAGCCTATCCCAGTAGCCAATGGGGGAGAGGGGGGGTCACCCAGTCCATAGGGCTATTACAAATTGTTCTAGTTCTAATCTTTTAATTTGGTATACATTCTCCAAAGCCGTATGTGATATTTTCCATGTAAAATAAGTGTTAAATGAATGAATATGTTCATGCTTTTTTGGTTCCACCTGTTGTAGTGTAGACCAGTCTTATGTAGCGGCTTTAATCTGGTTGCTTTAAAATGAAGGACACCACTCAGACCAGGAACCAGGATCTGCACATTTATTCCACCTATGAGGTTTTTTTTTGCCGTTATATAAATAAAGAAAATACTTCTGTAAATAAAATGTACACACCAACATAATGTGTGCCCTTGTAGCATGTGAAATGTTGAGTAAAAAGCTAACAAACAGTCACAAATATTACACACAAGTTTATAACACAAGAATAATAACTGCATGAAGAAAATAAAAAGCACTTTTAATATATGGCTTATCTTCACTTAAACCATGCAGTCCTTGACAGAATTAAAAAATTTGTTAACAGAATTCAGATGAACAATTTCATTCCGTAACACCCTAACCCTAACCCTAGGAGGGACACTAATTCAATTCAATTAAATTTTATTTCTATAGCACCACATCACAACAACAGTTGTCTCACAGCGCTTTCCAAACAGAGCAGGTCAGACCCTACTCTGAAGTTAATTACAGAAACCCAACAATTCCCACCATGAGCAAGCACTAGGCGACACAGGCAAGGAAAAACTTCCTTTTAACAGGCAGAAACAGGACTTGAGTTACTGTTACACAACAATGTGATAGTGACGTAGCTCTACCTGCCCGCCAAAAACTGTTAGCTTTTACTCAACATTTCACGTTACAAGGGCACGCACTACTTTGGCGTGCACATTTAATTTCCTTTATATTATGGAAGCTTTTGCACTGGAGACTGAGAGCGTCTAACAGCCTGTGTCCCCTACTACTCCAATAGGTGGAATAAATGTGCAGATCCTGATTCCTGCTCTGAGTGGTGTCCTTCATTTGAAATCAACCAGATTAAAGCCGCTACACTGGTCTCTGGAGCCCATCCCCGTCCACAACAGGCCAGAGGGTGGAGACTTACTCTAGAGTCCAGTTACGCTCACATGCAGGGGGGGGGGACACGCACACTCCTCACAGAAAGGTCTTCTCATGTCGCTTCCGCTCAAATACTTTGAAGCTAAGAACTTTACATTTTTCATCTAGTCTGTGTTACTATTGGCTGCCTCTCTCTCTCTCTCTCTCTCTCTCTCTCGCCCTCTCTCTCTCTCACCCCCAACCGGCCGAGGCAGATGGCCGCCCACCCTGAGCCATGGTTCTGCTCGAGGTTACTGCCTGTTAAAGGGAAGTTTTTCCTTGCCTTTGTCGCCTAGTGCTTGCTCATGGTGGGAATTGTTGGGTTTCTGTAGTTATCTTCAGAGTAGGGTCTGACCTGCTCTGTTTGGAAAGCTGTGAGACAACTGTTGTTGTGATGTGGCGCTATATAAATTTAATTGAATTGAATTGAATGACAGACGGATGAATAACAACCATACACAGTTCTCCACAGTTTCTACTTCCCTTGCTGACCGTGTTGCTGCTGGTCACCAGCGGTTTGTCACCAGCAGGTGTGTGAGGCTGGGACTGGAACCAGTTTAGGAATGTGTATCGTTTGCTGGTGAGCAATGTGCTTGACTTCCTCGGAAGCGTACACAACCAACTGGATTAGATAC